AGTTGTGTTTTGAGTTATGAATACTGATACTAAATTTTGTATTGCATTCAGAATGATGGCTTTATAATTGAGTAACTCTCCGTGCTTGTATATTGTTAATGACATTAGATTTGAAATTTAGGAAAGCTGGTTAATTACCAATTAGATAAAAATTACTATGTGTGTACTGCAGCATTTAAGTATGGGTTGACATTATTGAGAATAGAACATAAGAAAAATTATAGAATTGTGTTTGAGTCAAAACTTCATTGTCAGAATTTAATGTCTTTTGCTATTGTTTTCTATGTTATTAAGGAAGTTATTATTCATTTCCAGGCCCCAAATTCTTCACTTGTAATATGAGAAAAAATAAATAGCATCTACCTCAGGAAAAAAAAAGATGGACAAAAAAAGATGCTCACTGCAGTAATTATCTGTTGTATAACATGCTACCCTAAAATAATAAACATTATCATGTTTCCAAAGATCAGGTATTTGGAAGAACTTAGCTGATTCAAGTTCAGTTCAAGTTCAAAAGGTCGAGTAAAACTGTTGAAGTTACATTTGTTGGAACAGACTATCTATTGGCTGGAGACGACTCCTTTTTAAGCCACAGCTTGTTCCTCCCAGAGCAATTGATTTAGAAAGAGAAAATCAAAGATCAGACAAACAGAAGCCACAGTGTTATTGTAACTTAATCTCTGAAGTGACACTGTCAATTCTGCTCTGTGCTATTATTTTATCACCAAACCCTGGTGCAATGTGGGAGGGGGTAAAAAAGTATGAATATCAGAAGGCAGGTATTTTTAGGTGTTACCTTAGAAACTGGCCACTATCCTGTTACCGTTTTCGTTCTGCATTGTACTCTAGGTCCTACTTAGCAAGGAAAGGAAAGGAAATGAAATGTTTAATGATTGAAAAGATATTAAGGGTGGAGTACTCTCAATATTTACAGATGATTAAATTCCCTATGTAGGAATTCCTCAAATTATTGAAGTAATACTTTTACAAGGTTGCTGTACAACAAAAGCATTTATAAAATTGACTGAATTTATTTCAGTGCTTTATTTTGGATATTTTCTAAGGTCATGTCTTTCTATCCTTACTTGGTAGTCTAATTTGCTATTAATCCTACTTTTCAGTTTTAAATGCCATATTTTTTAAATTAAGTACTTTCTGTATCTTATTTCCCTAGGTCACATTCATGTTTTATGTCCTTGCACATACACAGATTTATGAAAACTCTTTTTAGGTCTCTGATAATTCCATTATTTGATTGTTTTTTTCATTTTGGGTATCCTGCTTCTTTGTGTAACCAATTTAAGACTGACTCAGATGGAGCCTCCCTCGTGGTGGCAAAAGGGGTTAAAAGCACAGCACGAGGAAGCTATCTGCAGCCAATGCAACAGTTTAACTGCAGGACAGCCAGGGAGGTCACCCACATGGTGTAGCAGACCACTCCTATCTGACCACTGCTCCCCTCTACAATGTATTTCAGTAGATCTGCCTGTTCTGCTCCCCACTCTGTCCCTGGTGAATCCTCTCACCCTCAGCATTTCTGGCCTGTACCCCAGTTCTGTATGAATAAATAAATCTTAAAAAAAAAAAACAAAAAAAACCCAAAACGATAATCAACAAATAAAGGGGAAAAAGGACCAAATGGTAATTATTGGTTCTTTGGTGGTGGGGCGTAATTGTGGTAACATACATCTGAAGAGATATAAACCTAGTCACCAAAATCACATAATATAAGCCAGTTGCCTGAATAAAAGTTACTCCAAAATACATTGTAACATAACATGTAAAAAAAAAATTCAAGTACTAAAAGCAGAAGATGGAATAGACTGTGACTATAGCTGCTACAACTCTTGTAAATCCTGTAGCCATTACTGTTTCCATAGCCACACCAGCCCTGGAGGCAGAGCTAAAGAGGAGAAAACTGAAGCTGAGGACAACTTTGATGACTTAATTTTTTTATTTAGAGATTTATTTATGCATACAAGAACTGGAGAACAGGGAGGTGCAGGGAAGGAGTAAAGAGAGTTGGGAGTAGAACAGGCAGATTTACTGAAATACACTGCTGAGGGGAGCAGCAGGTGAGACAGGAGAGGTCTGCTGCACCATGTGGGTCACCTCCCTGACCAGGGATCAAACTCAGGCTGCAGTGGCTGCAAATCACCGAATAGGGCTGGCTTTAACCCTTTGCGCCAACAGGGAGGGACTGAACTATACTTAAAACAAACTCATCAAACTAGAAATAAATCTGAAGTTAAAGAAAAAAAAGTGAGCCTTCCTGGTGCCCAGGGGTCAATTCTTAGGGCTTTCACTGATCTGGCCTTAAACCCACATGGTGTCCTGTCTCACCTGCTGCTCCCCTCAGCAGCCCCCTACTTTATCTTCTGTTGAGTCCTTTCATCTCCCTGCAGCCCAGTTCTATGCAAAAATAAATAAAATCTTAAAAATAAAAAGTTAACAAATCATAAAAGATTGGCAAAAGAGGAACCCCTGTGGGGAGACTGAGGGCTCTCTGAGAGCCAGCTCAATGAAGAATTTTGGCAGAAGAGTACCTTCCAGTACTGGAGGAACCCTTTACCACCTCTTGATCTGGTAGACATCGAAGACATAAATGAAGATAACCTGACAAAACCAATGCTGCAGGGCAAGAATGAAGTGGTTGAGATTGACATGGAGTCCTGATGGAAGGAACCAAGGAACTGTTTTTTCTTAAGTTGAGAAAAATTATAAATTTAAATTTATGTATCCTTAAGGGAGTTATTTTCCATAACTAATGTGGTATTGTTCCAAACCTGAAAAAATGAGGAAAGGTTTTTTTAAAAAGATTTATGCATACAGAACTGGGGTACAGGCTAGAGGTGTAGGGGTGGTGAGAAGATTCACCAGAGACAGAGTGGGGAGCAGAACAGGCTGACAAAGTACACTGCTGAGAGGAGCAGCTGGGTGGGGGTTGGGGGTGAGGCCAGGTGAGGTCTGCTGCACCACGTGGATCACCTCCCAGGCAGAGATCAAACTCATGCTGAAGTGGCTACTTAGTGCTGTGCTTTAACCCACTGTGCCACCAGGGAGGGCGCAAGGAAAGGTTGTTTTAAAGATAAATGCAGTCACTACTGAACTTCCCAAATAGAGATTTATCAAGCATATATGATGCAGTTATAGAGGTGAAGTACTGTATATAATTATTCCTAAAGGAAAACTGAGTTCAGGTTCTAACTTTGAAGAGGAATACTGACAATTCTAGAGATAGGGAAAAACTCAAATATTCCTATCTGCACCAAAAAGTTTATGGTACATTAAGAAAATATTGTTTTATAACAATTGTTAAAATGCTTTCAAATACATTTTATTGACTTTTCAGTTAAACTAATAGCTGATTTAAACATCTATGCAAACTTCAAAGTGTGAGGCATAGTTTTCTAAATGTAAAAAACTTCAATTTGAGTAGCATGTTGGTGTAACTTCCAATCTCTGGAGTTTGATAAGCTCTACTATGGATAATCAAAAGTGGATGAGAACAATGAGAAGTGAATAGGTGCTTTTTCCCACAGGATAAAAGGAAAGAAACATCACATTTCTTTAATTTCTTAGTTTTGAATTATTTTAAAGACATGGTTTTAATTGCTCACTATTTTAAACTTTAAACAAGAGAACTGATTTGAGCTGAAGCAATGCCTCTTAATTAGCTTTATTTCTCTTAATGGCTTGTTTCAATTAAATTATTACTATTTCATAAAGTACATAGTTGTGTTTTGAGTTATGAATACTGATACTAAATTTTGTATTGCATTCAGAATGATGGCTTTATAATTGAGTAACTCTCCGTGCTTGTATATTGTTAATGACATTAGATTTGAAATTTAGGAAAGCTGGTTAATTACCAATTAGATAAAAATTACTATGTGTGTACTGCAGCATTTAAGTATGGGTTGACATTATTGAGAATAGAACATAAGAAAAATTATAGAATTGTGTTTGAGTCAAAACTTCATTGTCAGAATTTAATGTCTTTTGCTATTGTTTTCTATGTTATTAAGGAAGTTATTATTCATTTCCAGGCCCCAAATTCTTCACTTGTAATATGAGAAAAAATAAATAGCATCTACCTCAGGAAAAAAAAAGATGGACAAAAAAAGATGCTCACTGCAGTAATTATCTGTTGTATAACATGCTACCCTAAAATAATAAACATTATCATGTTTCCAAAGATCAGGTATTTGGAAGAACTTAGCTGATTCAAGTTCAGTTCAAGTTCAAAAGGTCGAGTAAAACTGTTGAAGTTACATTTGTTGGAACAGACTATCTATTGGCTGGAGACGACTCCTTTTTAAGCCACAGCTTGTTCCTCCCAGAGCAATTGATTTAGAAAGAGAAAATCAAAGATCAGACAAACAGAAGCCACAGTGTTATTGTAACTTAATCTCTGAAGTGACACTGTCAATTCTGCTCTGTGCTATTATTTTATCACCAAACCCTGGTGCAATGTGGGAGGGGGTAAAAAAGTATGAATATCAGAAGGCAGGTATTTTTAGGTGTTACCTTAGAAACTGGCCACTATCCTGTTACCGTTTTCGTTCTGCATTGTACTCTAGGTCCTACTTAGCAAGGAAAGGAAAGGAAATGAAATGTTTAATGATTGAAAAGATATTAAGGGTGGAGTACTCTCAATATTTACAGATGATTAAATTCCCTATGTAGGAATTCCTCAAATTATTGAAGTAATACTTTTACAAGGTTGCTGTACAACAAAAGCATTTATAAAATTGACTGAATTTATTTCAGTGCTTTATTTTGGATATTTTCTAAGGTCATGTCTTTCTATCCTTACTTGGTAGTCTAATTTGCTATTAATCCTACTTTTCAGTTTTAAATGCCATATTTTTTAAATTAAGTACTTTCTGTATCTTATTTCCCTAGGTCACATTCATGTTTTATGTCCTTGCACATACACAGATTTATGAAAACTCTTTTTAGGTCTCTGATAATTCCATTATTTGATTGTTTTTTTCATTTTGGGTATCCTGCTTCTTTGTGTAACCAATTTAAGACTGACTCAGATGGAGCCTCCCTCGTGGTGGCAAAAGGGGTTAAAAGCACAGCACGAGGAAGCTATCTGCAGCCAATGCAACAGTTTAACTGCAGGACAGCCAGGGAGGTCACCCACATGGTGTAGCAGACCACTCCTATCTGACCACTGCTCCCCTCTACAATGTATTTCAGTAGATCTGCCTGTTCTGCTTCTCAGTCACTGGTTAATCCTCTTACCACCCCACAACATTGGGCTAAACCCCAGTTTTTGTATGCATAAATAAATCTTTAAAAGAAATTTTTATTTATGCATACAAGAATAGGGGTACAGGCCAGAGGTAAAGCGGGTGGGTTGGGTTTAAGAATTCACCAGAGACAGAATGAGGAGAGCAGAGCAAGGAGATTGACTGAAACACACTGCTGAGGGGAGCAGGTGAGATAGGAGAGATCTGCAGTGCCTTGTGGGTCACACCCTTGGTTGGTGATCAATCTCGTGCTGCAGTGTTGCACAGCTTCATAATGTTGCACTTTAACATGTTAAGACACCAAGGCGGACCTTAAAATAAATATTTAGGAAAAAAATTCTGGGGGCCTCCCTAATGACAGGGATTTAATCTCAGCATTATCACCACTATGGCCCTGAATTCGATTGCTGGCCAAGGAACTCACGTATGATGCAGATCTCTGTCTTGCTAACTGCTCCCCTTAGTAAATCTGCCTGTTCTGCTCCACACTCTTTTTCTGGTGAATCCACTGAATACCCCTTAACCACTGGCCTACACCCAAGTTCTATGCAAAAAAACAAACAAAAATTCTGCCTTTCGAAACCAAATATTTAATATTATCTTTAAATTGTGTCAATACAATTTCAAACAAATGCCAACTGGAAGACGAGGCACAGGAATTCATGGAGGAAACAATCTTCCAGACAACCAGGAATACCAAGGTGATCTTCTACTCCAGCTGCACTATCAGTGGCTTGTCAGCCAATGTAATCCACATTACCGAGTGTTTACCTGACAAGGGAAAAAAAACGTTAAGATTCAAAACCTGTAGTGACAGCATTTTTAAGAATGAAAGATATATAAGGCAATGACCCAAATTCCCTATATTTTTAAAGGTGAGAAAGCAATGTATAAGTATGAAATCTAGACTTACCACATCATCAATTTTCAGAATGCTCCGGACAGTTTCAGTTGCTAGAGTCAATGCACTGACTGAAACCAACAAAGGCTGGACAACTAGTTCCTCCAAGATGTTGGAAATACCACCCTGAAAAATCAGCACAACTTGCTTTCAGTGTTATAAACATCATCAACTACATGATTACCAGTAAGCCTTACGGCTTTTTCAGTTTTCTTTGGCTAGCCAGGAGTAAGATACCCTTTAAGGTTTTCTCTACATTAGCCTGCATTTTAACTAAAATTCAGAAAAACTAAATTAGGGAAAAATGACGCATTTCCACAACCCAACCCAGATCCTTCTAGCTTTTATTTAAAAATAATCTTGACAGCTAGGTAGACATAATCACAGAAATTAGAAATTTTGAGACCTTTAAGGTTCAAATCACTTCTGAATCCCAATTCTGAATTTGGCCATGTCTGTCTGCTCTGCTTTTGTATTACTCTCAGGATCATTGCTGGGCAACATCATGCAACGCTGTCTCCAGTTTTTCCTCTTTAAAATACTTGTTTTATCACCTTAGTCCCTTTGGTCAAAAAACTTTTAGTGGTTCCCAACTATTGTATATAAAAAAACCTCGCATCTGTTTCAATACTCAAAGACCTTCTCAGTCTACTTCTATCTCATCTTTCCAACCTCAAAGTTCTCTATATTGCTAAAGATTGATTTATTTATGCATACAGGCCTAGGGTACAGGCTTGAGGTGCAGGGGCAACAAGAGGATTCACCACACAGAGTAGGGAACAGAACAGGCAGATCAATGAAGCATACTGCTGAGGGAAGTAGTGGTCAGAGAGGTCTGCTCTGTAACCCACTGTCTTTGATGGATCCTCTTACCCACGCCTGCGTGCCCATACCTCGGCCTATAACCCAGTTCTGATACGCATAAATATATCAATCTTAAAAAAAAAAAAAAAGACATCATCTTCATTCTCTTTTATGTAACAAACTGCATGCAGGTCTAATAAATCTGAGATTAATCTAAATTACAGACAAAGCAGACCTCCCTAGCTGGGTACTGAACTTGCATTCAAGCTGCTGTGGCTAGCTTAGCAGTGCCGTGCTTTAACCTGTTACACCACCAGACAGGGCCCTCTGTATCTCTAACATATAATTTCTGGTTTAGATAAAACGAGCAGGGCCCTCCCTGGTGGCGCAGTGGGTTAAAGTGCAGCGTTAGCTAGAATGAGCAACTTTTAGCCCCCCCTTCACCTGTGAACCACTGCTTCCCTATCTAAAATTCCCTCTAAATAAAGCTTTTCCTAGCCACGTAGTACTCTTTTCTACAGTTATACCATTCAAAAAATACTATCTGGGATTGTCAATTTTCCCCCATTACATTAACTTGTATTTCCAACAAAAGAGAACAATATATACTTTCTGTATGCTCACACTCTACAACTATACTAGGTTGATGCCCAAGAATAACAACAATGGTCAAATACACATAATACTATCAATATGCCAGGCATCTGTGTTAAGAGTTTTCTAATCAGTAATACATTTAACCTTTACAATAGGACTAAGAGGCAGTATTAATTGTCCCTGTTTTCACAACAGGGTGATGAAACTGCATTCAGAACTAACTAGCTAAAGAAACAGTGACTCTTTAAAGAACAATAACAAAAAGCCCTCACTTAAGACATCATCTCCAGGCCTTTTTGGTGGTGCAGGGTTAAAGACACACCATTATCAAGCTATCATCAGCTACTGTCACATGCATCAGATCCCCTGCCCGAGAGTTAGCCCACATGGCACAGCTGATCTCTCCTGTCTGGCCACTGTTCCCCTCAACAGTGTACTTCAGTATATTTGTCTGCTCTTACGGATCCTCTCACCCTCATAGCTCTGGTCTACACCCCAGTTTTTGTATGCAAAAAACTTTTAAAATTAAGTTATTTATGCATACAGAACTAGGTTATAGATCAGAGGCTCAGGAGAGGTCTGCTGCACCATGTGGATCACCTCTGGGGCCAGGGATTGAACTTGCACTTAAGTGGCTTCGGCTAGCTTGCAGTGCTGAGCTTTAAGCTGCACCACCGGGGAGGGACCAAAATAAACAAACTTAAAAAAAAAAAAAAAGGACATCACCTCCATTCTCATTTATTTAAGCAAACTACACACAGGTCTAATAAACCCAAGATTAATCTAAATTACAAAGCTTTCATTCAGTAAATGGCTATGAAGCTTCAAGCATTTTTAGTAACATTTGTGTGATAAATAAAGATTAAATTGGCACCTTTCGGACATTAATGCCTGTAGTTTTTTCTCCTTGTGCATGTCGGTTTCTAAGTTCTGTTACTGTAGAAATGGGATTCAGGCCAGCATTTTCAGCTAGAGTAGATGGAATGACTTCCATTGCATCTGCGAAAGCACGAACACAGTAGGATTCCATACCACTCAATGTTCGTGAATATTCAGTTAACCGTAGGGCCAATTCTATTTCTGGAGCACCACCTCCTGCAATAAGAGCTCTGAAATTCACAAATAGATTTTTAGCTTATTTATCTAGCAGAAGGTCAATTTTATTTATTACTTATAGCTTTAAAACAGCAAACAATAGTAAATTTAACACCCAAAATATTACTTAGTAATTTCTATTACCTCTTCTTCACTAAACAGCGAATAACACAGAGAGCATCATGAATGGAGCGCTCAGCTTCTTCAATCACCAATTTGTTAGAACCACGAACAACAATTGTAACTGTTTTTCCTGGGCTTGTACAGCCTGTAATCTTTAGTAATAAAACAGATTCCAAATTAGCTATTTGAAACACTGGTTTAAAAAACCAAACATCAAAAACCCCAGGCAAGTAATAGAGCATATTATTCCTACCTTCAGCAGTTTACCAGAACCATTTAAACTGATCTCCTCTGCCAACTCAGCTGATCCCAGCATGTCAGCAGTGAACTGGTCAATGTGAGCAACTGGCTTGGTTCCAATAGTCTGGGAAAAATGGACATATTCACAAGTTAAGACAACATTTGATAAATGGGACATTTTCAAACATAAAGATGTTAAGTATATTTTACCTTGCAAATGAATTCAATGTCTTCTCTTTCAATATCTTTAACCACCATAATCTTCATTTTGTTCAGGAAATGTAATGCAAGATCACTGAGAGCATCTCTAAAATACAAAATCAATGATTATGTCAATGCTGGGCTAGACAACAAACCATTTTGTTGCTTAACCACATTTTGGGTTTTCATTATTTTACTACTGTTTAAGTAGCTAATGACTCAATAAAGGAGATACTTTACATATTAAACAAATTTTTGAGCTCAATATTTAAAATAAGGTCTCTGATGTCAAACGTTAATGTACTCCTAATAAAACTATTTGTAAAGCACAGTAAAAAGGTAATGTGACATTATTTTGTTAATAGCTCTGAAAATTAAAACTTAATTGATACCTCATTAAGTTCAGAATTTAAGTATAAGTAATTCAAGACACCATAAATGTATATATTCCCATAAATTATCTGGAATAGAGGACATTTTGTCTTAATTTGAACACTTTGTTTTACATATTTTGTTTACAATCATATTTTTATTAAAAATTGTAAAATGATTATTACTGAAATATGTTCTATAGATAAACAAATTTCACTTTTGAGAGCAATTTACTCAGTGATACTAGCTACATTACATGGTTTGGAATTAAAATCAGATGATCTCAATTCTATATGAAATGAACACCTACAGTACTTTCTACCATAATGAATTCAAGAGTGCATAAGAATGTGTTTAAGAAAACTATTAAAAAACATAGTGATAATGGCCCTCCCTGGTGGCGCAGCGGGTAAATGCACAGCACTGAGAAGCTAAAGCCACTTCCTCATGAGTTCAACTCCCGCCTGCCCCGGAGGTGACCACATGGCGTGGCAGACCTCTCCTGACCCGCCCGCTGCTCCCCTCAGCAGTGTACTTCGTAGATCTGCCTGTTTCTGCTCCCCACTCTGTCTCTGGTGAAGCCTCTCGCCACCCCTGAGCCTCTGGCCTGTACCCCAGTTCTGTATGAATAAATAAATCTTTAAAAAAAAAACAAAAACAAAAAAAAAAACATAGTGATAAATTCCAATTATGAAGGATTCAATTTATGACTATCCACAATATTATATTAGAAATGTCTAAATTTCAAGGTAAAAAAATCGCATGGACTTTTAAGTAAACACCTCTTTTTAATTAGCTAACAGTTTGAAACCTAATTTTTTAAAAAAAACAAGGCATTTCATTTAGTTGATATTTAGAGTCTTGGTCTAGATTATATATATATATATATATCCACATTTACATGATCATAATGGGAAGAGAATTTACTTTAGAGGAGTTATCAGAATACAATGGTGCCAACATGCAGATCCACTCTAGATTTCTAATAATTTAAACACCTTAAATGTTTCTTAAAGATTGCTACAAATGGCCTCCCTGGTGGTGCAAGGAGTAGCACCACGAAGCCACTGCAGCCTAAGTTCAATCCCTGGGGGCCAGGGAGGTGACCCACATGTCCCAGACTTCTCTTGTCTCATCTGATACTCCTGTCAGGCAATGATCTTAGTCAATCCGCCCATTTCTGCTCCCCACTCTTTCTCTGGTGAATCCTCTCACCCCCATGCCTCTGGCCTGAACCCCAGCAGTTCTTATATGAGTAAATAAACAAAAAAAAAAAAAGATTGCTAGAGAGGGTCAATTATAATTAAAAGGGAACAAATAAGAACTACACCTTAAAATAGACTTCTGTATAAGAAGAACATTACATCCTGCTTTTTTTATTTGTTTCACCAAATTTAGAATGTAGGATCTTTCTTCTCGCAGTACTCGGTCCATCTGGACATAGTCAGAAACGACTATTTGATTATCCATCTGTCCAGGAAAAAAAATAGCATGAGTTTTTAAGCAAATAAGAGGTTTTAAATGAATATAGTAAATATGGTACAAATTCAAACAACACCCATCCCAAACAAGAATTAGACAAGCATAGAAAATGTCTGGAAAGATAAACAAACATTTTGTCTTACTTAAATATTTTTATTAGTACATTTGTGATTACCTAAAAATGTAAAATTAAAAAAAAGGAAAAAATCCCAATTTTCGAATTATGTTAATTCTCTTCTAAAATAATTTCAGTTGCATTCTCTTTACCTTATGGGTGAAAAAAGGTAACAAGAAGTAATTTTATTTGTATTAAAAGACCCATTAGACATCATTCATGTTTTGCATGGGTCAAACTTTTGGGAAACCAAGGTTAAACAGAAAAAATTGTTTGATGACACAGTGCTAAACAAAAGCAAATCTGAGTAAGGTACTAAGATCAACCAGCTTCTTTAGGGAATGACATGATCAAGAGAAGAGGTATGGGACTATCTTAAGTGAAAAATAATTACCTAAAAGTTTAGATATTCAACAAGTATAAATTTCTACCTGTGCTATTTAGGGCAAAAGCTCTGCTACTGAAGGATAGACAAAGGTTTCTGTTCTCAAAAAGCTAGAAGTAAACTGAAAATTCCATTATTCAATATGTATCCCAATTGTTATCTACCTTCACCTGATAAGGAAATAGTCAATTATAATCATTAGCTTAGCTAACTGAAGGTATAGCTTACCGATTTCATGTCTGACATTCAACAATTTCTACTTCTGTCTCAATTTTACTTTTTTTGAGATCTATGCTTGTTAATCACTAGAATCAACATTTTGTTTTTATTAAACAAGAACCAAGTTACTACAATGTTAAGCAGACAAAGAAAGAACCAATTTCATTTGGTTTTACTTACATCTGTCTTGGGAGCAGATAAGCAAAACTGAATAAGCCCAATCTTAGCCTTTTCAACTCTGGTGATGCCAGAATTTGCCACCTTTTGAGTGAGAACCAGTCCTTCCACCAACTCACAGTCATCAATGGTTCCACTAAGATAAAAGAAAACAAGTAGGTAACTAAGCAGGGATAGAAATCTATAGTTTTAACAGTAAAAAAAGATCATCAGTCCAATAAAATGTGTTCTAGACTCAAATTTACTATAGTGTCCCATTCTCAAACCTCTTTCATATTATTGTCCTCTCACTGTAAGGAAAAATAAGTTCTTGAAGGCCCAACAAAATAAGTTCTCAAGAAAACAATACCTAAAAGAAAAGTTTCGTGACATCCATCTATTTTTTACTCATTTTGGGAAGGAGCTTTTATTTACTCTCAAAATTAATATCAAGTTGTAAGTAAAGATACTTACCCAAGTTTCTTAACTATTTTAATATCCCTAAGATCTACACTAGTGGCTGTGGCTGGGTCAATCACTTTCATCACTGCATTTACACTCATTGGAGAAAGCAGACTTGAATATTGAGACACAACCTAGATTTAAAAAAAACAGATGAGAATCAGCAAAATGAAAGTCATAATCAAAAAAGCCTTAGTTCTTTAATGACAAAGACACACAAAAAAAGCTCAAAAAACAGCCAAATTAAACCTTAATTTTTAATGTTTGTCTCACCTTTGAGTTCAATGAAGTGGCTGCGCTATTTAACAAAGTCTCTCTGTCACTAAGTTCCACAGGTCGAGACATGTCAGTTAAGATTTCAAGACCTTTTTCCAAAGCCTTCTGGAATGACTCCGAAATGATGGTTGGATGAATCCCTGTCATATGACAAAGTCCAGTTATTTAACTATAACATATAAACTACATTGCCACAAATTAAATTTTTTTTTACTTATTAAAACCCCAAAGCACTCCCAAATTTTAAATTTTAAATTGTGAAGAGCAATTTAAAATCATAAATATATTTATAATGGTTTGGATAATCTTTTTGGTAATTATGGCCAATAATTTATTTCCATTTATTTTGGGACAGATCTGTTACCTGCTTGTGTGCTGTTTTAGTCTAAAATAAAATCTTAACTCTTTCAAAACACCACAAACCTGTATTGTCAGAAAAGTCAAAAAATACTTTTCGTTTTCCAAGCAAAAATGCATGATGACTTTGCCATCAACGCACTATGTAATGAGTAAATGAGCACTATGATTTAACATATCAAAATCAAGAACCCATAATACCCTTTCCCAAATCGACAGTCTCATCTAATGCCTAAAATAGTAACCCACCACCTTTTACTTTTGTAAAATAAAATCTTATTCAATTCAAAATGAATCCTGGGGCCCTCCCTGGTGGTGCAAAAGGTTAAAACACAGCACTATGAAGCTATCTGCAGCCACTGCAGCACAAATTCCATCCCTGGCCAGGGAGATAACCCACATGGAGCAATAGACCTCTCCTGTTAGCCCACTGCTCCCCTCAGCAGTGTGTTTCAGTACATCTGCCTGTTCTGCTCCCCACCCTCTCTCTGGTGAATCCTCTCACATCATCCTTACACCTCTGGCCTATAGCTCAGATTTTCTCCATAAAAAAAAAAAAAAAAAAAAAAAAAAAGCCTGGTCAAAAACAAAACCAATAAAAATGAGCAAAATTTCCCTCATTCCCTGACAAATCAATCAAATTTTAACCATAAAAACCCTGATTAAAAAAAAAAAAAGATGAGTTATTCCAAGTTAAATCTCACTTTGTGTTTATTCAGTAAAGCATGTCCTATATATTACCTACCTTTCTGAAGAAGCTTGGTACAAGAATCTAAGAGAGAACCAGCAATGATGACCACTGATGTAGTGCCATCTCCTGCTTCTATGTCTTGAGCCTTAGACAGCTCCACGAGCTAAAAGACAAGCCAAGATGCTCAATGAGAAATGTTGAGAACCTAGTAATATTTAAATCATTGTCATAAATATAGTTTGATTATTAACATCATGCAATTAAATATAATTCTTTTGTTATGTTGTCCATCTTGGGTTTCACTTAGAAATGACGACCAATGTATCAGAGGCATACCAAATTCCATACACTTTCTCTCTAAGATGATTAAGATTCCTTTGCAGACTGTGGGTTGGGATTTTTCTTACATGAAAGATTTCGGTCAAAAGCTATATTATATGTAGCACACAGACTTAGCAGCAATGAAATGAGATTTTCCAGATGAGAGCAGAGTACCAGTTTGTTGTCTTTTGGAAGTTTTATTCAACTGAACCTAAATGAGCGTAATGATCTGTTTTAAAACTCATCTCTACAAAACTGAATGGTAGGGAATTTTAATAGGTAGGAATTTGTTTTTGTTGATATGGTGACTTCTCATTGTCACTCGAATCCTTATTATGATCCCTAACTGGATTGATAGTGTCAGTGTAAAATGCAGACATAATTAGTTGGCACACAATAAAAATTTTTAGTATCTCATTCTCCTCTGCTGACACTCACTGAATTTACCATTTATACCAATTCATGTTTTCTCTCCTTTTCTCAACTGTATGTCACATCCCTGTCATGTTTTATCATGAAGAGCACAATGCTGGGCACATAATACATTCTAAAGATACTCCTGCCTATCATAAAGAGAAAAAATTTCACCATGATTAGTTATCATATTATCAAATACTATTTCCCAATATAAAAAAATACTTAAAATAAAAAAGCCTCATTAAAATTACACTTACCATTCTGGCTGCTGGATGTAACACCTGCATTTGTTTCAGAATGGTAGCACCATCATTTGTAATAGTCACATCACCTTTTCCATCTTGAATCTACAAAATTTGGCATTTTACTAAGTTATATTTCAAAATTTTTTTTATCTTTACCCAGAATTAAGGTGACATCCTAAAGGGTCTACTAATTTTAACACTTCTTAGCCAAAAAATTAACTTGTGTTTGCATATTTCTTGATTTCAAATTCTTTCCTCTTACATTTGTATAACGACTTAAGAACAGGCATGAATATTCCACTATCAGAGCATTCCTGGTGGCCTACAGGTTAAGTATCAGTACTATCACCTCCACAGCCTGAGTTTGCTTCCCGGGCAGGGAACTAGCCCACGTACGTTACTGCAGACCTCTCCTGCTTTGCCCACAGCTCCCCTTAGCAGTTTATTTCCACCTGTTCTGTTCCCTACTGTCTCAGGTGAATCCTGTCACCTTCCACACTGCTGGTTTACACCTCAGTTCTTCTAATAAAAATAAATATAAAATCATTATCAATTTGGATTTTTATTAAGAAACAAAACCATGGATCCCCAAAAAGGTAGTACTGTGAATGTGGGGAACATAATCCTTATAGTCAGGATATAACTTATCTTCAACCAAGTATAGCAATATTACCAAGAGTGACAGATTACAAAATATCCATAGGGAACAATGATGTATGTATCATCTAGACAATCCTCCATATTATTTGTCTAATTTTGCATGTTAATCTAGCACTGAAATTAGTATTCAAAAGTTATCAGAAACTATTTTATGCTGCTAGTCAGTTAAGCAGCAAGTGCAGCTGAAAATTCAGAGCGATAAGTCAGGTCACACAGTTATATCAGTAAGGAAGATTAACTCAAGCCTGAACAGCTGCACACCTTACTATTCTCCATCTAAATATACAATTGATACTCTTGTATATGCACATGTTGTTTAAAAACATTAATGCCAACATCACATGAATTAACAGTTGACTGCTATTCACCATAGAAGTAATCTATCCTCCTGTGAACTGTCAAAGAGCCTTCTATCAGATTTTTGCTTATCTGCTCCAAACCATTCCAGTTTTTAGTGTACGGGATGGTGAAGCAAGATCCCTTTTTAATTTTTAAACAGTACACTTTAACCCTCCACTGATATCTTACAATGAGGGTGGTAGCACTCAGTAAGTAATGAGTGATTCTTACCATTTTATCCATTCCTTTCGGTCCAAGGCTTGTTCTAATAGCATCAGCAACAGCTATAAACAGAGGAAAAAGAGAGATATTTTAAAGAGCAAAATTTTCTCTCAGATAATTTTGTCCTTATTAGGAAATGCTATACAACAGTTCATGTATACCAAAGATAAAGAAAATTCACTATCTAATGATTATTTTATTCCTAAGTCATACATTTCACCTTTTGTTGTTAAAGTTGGTATACTGTATTTGTGTTTTGTCTATGGCAGAATAAATTTTGAGAATTTACTTGATCTTTCTTTAAATATAATAATGGTATAACTTTGTTATGAATGCTGATAGAGGACTATGTTCTTTTTCCAGGTCTTAAAACAACAGGTTACAATAGGACAGCCTATAATAATTCATTTGTTTGTTTATTCTGTCTCCCCTAACCATAGCATGCAATTTCTGAAGGCAAAGATTGTTCACGATTATGAAATTGGCACACAGGTAAAAACCCCTTCAAACAGAAAGCAGCACACAAAGAGAGTCAAAACTTTAAATAAAAGCAAAACTAAAATTGTTGCAGTTTAATCATAATTAGCACATTATCAAACATCACTGTATAAAGAGAGTAACATTCCAAAATTACTTGCTATTAACTTGTCCATGGGAACATTCCCATTTTTTAAATCCACTTATTTTCTAAGAGAAGTTGGAATTGATGAAAGCTACTTACTCCCCTTTCTTTGACAAAACCAGAAAATGATTAAATTGTCTCCTTTCTCATATACCACCTCACCCCCATACAGAGCTGATACGCACATTTAATTTGTACACTTCATAACTAGTACAGTGTTTTGCATTACTTATTGTATAGTCAACAATATATAATCCTAAAGCGTTTAAAAGAAAATTGGTATGATCTAAAAATGGTATTTTACTTAATTACCTAACTTTAAGCTGCTGTTCCTAAATATTCAGCCAGTATTACTGGGTATCACACAGTATTTTCTAAGTGATTTTAGCTGGCTCAAATAGCCACAATTCCATAAGCAGACTGATTCACTTTAAGGATGTTCTTATTTTGGGGACTCCTTGGTGGTGTAGTGGGTTAAAGCACAGCACTAAGAAGCTAAAGCCACCTCAGCATGAGTTGGATCCCCCACCCGAGGTGACATGAGGTGACCACAGGGGAGGCAGACCTCTCCTGACCTGCCCCCTGTGGTCAGCGGGCCTGTTCTGCTTCCCACTCTTGTCTCTGGTGAATCCTCTCATCGACCCTGCATCTCTGGCCTGTACCCCAGTTCTGTATAAATAAACAAAATTCTTATTTTCTTATATTTTAAGAATAATCTAAAGATACTATTCAAAAATTAAAAAGATCTAAGCTACTTTTATCTACAAAACTGTCTCAAGTTTAACATACTGTACCACAGAGTAAGTACATAGGAGACTATTAAATGACTCATGTTTAACATGAAATAGAAATGCCACAATTTTTGTGAGTATGTGTGGGTTTTCACATATCAACCAATAGTACTATTGTTCACTTTCCTGGTAACACCAAAAAAATAAACTAATTTGGCTTCTCAAATTAAAGACACACGTGACAACTTCCTTATTAGTTTCTTTGACTTGGAAAAACTACCTGTGCCCCTCTGGATCTATCAAGGCTCACCACTAATGGTCAGGTTCACAGCTGAGGTGGTTTTTCCTTTCTACAAACACATTTCCCTTTTCAATTCTCCACGCACAGTTGTTTCTAAGGTTATTAAGTAAACTCCCTTCTATATCTTGTTCAATGAAACCACCTCATCTAGTTGCGTAGCCCTCCAGGTAGCCCCCAAATTTAAACAGCTTGTTTCTAATGTAACAGTTACGTTTTTTACAATGCTTCCGAGGTAATTACATCTGTATTTCCAGGTATATTAGTGTCAAACTGGAACCCATTTTTTCTTCTTCAACCATCTTTCTTTCAATGTATCTTTTTGCATCACACACTCAATCGGTTTTGTCTGCATGGGTCATTATATGCTTGCTTATTTAATCTTCACAATCCTACAAGTCAGCTAGTCTCCTGAAGAACAATCTGTAGTTGCAAACCCTTTCCAGATTCTTCTATGTTTGGTCCAGCCCTATCTGTCAAACTCACATCTCGAATCTTACTCGCTAAGCCTAATGAAATATTCACTGTACTTAATACACACCACAGGCTCTAAACCTTTGTTCTCACTTTTCCTTCTATTTCAACTCGATTTTCTTGATTCTCACTATGCTTAAAAAAAAATTTCCTCCACAATTTTATAGTTAAGGAAACTCGACGAGAGATGAAAGGTGACAAAGCCAACAATTTAGGAAACAATGAAATTCAGGAGTTGATTTCCATCACCGGCAAAAAGGCAAAAATGTGGTACAGAACACAGCAAACTATCACGTTTTTATTTCCTTGTGAATGGCTGCACAAGCAGAGCATCCATAAACGCCCGGTGTAGATTTTCATAATTATTTTCAAACGAGAGAGTGAAGTCGTCTCCCCGCGCCCCAATACCATGGACCCCACCCCAATGTAGGCCTGGAACGTTTACTCTAATAGCCGAGGGAAGCTGACTTAAGTGGTACTTTTGTAACAGGTACAGGTTTCAGGGATATTTAACCTTTTTGAGTGTGTCCATAATACGACTGAATCGTAAGCGCGCGGGTGAAGACCCAAAGACAGGCAACCCAATTCACATTGGGGTGCCCTGTAACACTTTAACGGCAACAATACAAGTGAAAAGTATTGTGAAAATAACGTTCTACCAGTGGGCCTCGTATGCAGATAAGCGACAGTTTTAAACTGCCAGAGCTCTGGACACCGTTGCACGCGGGCCGTGGTCACTTTCTGAGTGTGAGGAATGACCCACAACCTAGAATGAACATTTAGGGCCTCTTAGGCCCAGAATGGGCGAGTCCAAACGCCTCCGTTCTCGGAATCGGGAATTGCAGGCAGGAAAAGACACCTCCACAGGGCTCCATAGAGCTCCGGACGGACAAATGGAAAGAGGATACACGCTCACTCAAGATCAAGGTGAGCATGCAGAGCTCGACCCACAGGGCGGCAGAGCAGACCAGGGAAGCAATACCTTTGGCGGCGGAGATATTGCTGAAGCGGATCTGGGCCGGCTTATCCCGGTCTTGATAGGCGCTTTTCCCGCGACCGCCGGCTGCCCCTGCAGGCGCCCCGCTACGGG